TTTTCGTGTAATTTTTACCTCACGCCATAGACCTTTGTAAATTTTGTAAAAAATTTTTAGATTTGACGGATATTCATTTATGTCCGTATAACTCCGTAAAGTATCAGTCATATTGAATTCAATTATAGATTTCGAAAATAGAAATTTCAACCTTTAAAATCCTTTTTTAATTTTTTGTCTTCGATGATTTTTCATTGAATTATGTGTATTTTGAATATTGCCCAATTTTTAGCGTGTTTGAAAGTGTTCCCTAGATTTTGTTGAGTAGTATATTATGATTGTAACTAATGATATGTATCATGTGTATAAAAGAAAAATCTAATACTTAACTCTAATGATATGTATCATGTGTATAAAAGATTCTATGGGATTTTAAAATTATATACAAACTTACCTTTTTAAAAAAAAGGTTAAAAAGGCGCTAAGAGCGTGTGCTTATCCAATATAACTATTTTATGGTAAAATCTAATTCTAACAAATTAAAAAGTGAAACCTAAGACTATCATTTTATTATCTTTTTATTTTTTTTACTTAACTTTAATGATATGTATATATCATTTGTATAAAAGATTTCAATAACGCCAATTACTTAATCGGCCGTGAAACTAATAACTAATCACATTTGCTGTTTAGTAGAACTAACGATATGTATCATTTGTATAAAAGATTTGATATCAACAATTGGCTCCAAGTTAAATTTAATGTAATTCGAACAAATTAAATTCTATCATTTTATTCCTCCCAAAGAAAAAAAAATTTATTTAACTCTAATGATATGTATCATATTCGTATAATTGATAACAAAATTGGCGCCAAGTTAAATTCATCAAAATTTTATCAAAATTTTATCAAAAAAATTTTATGTATTATTCCTTTAAAAGATTTGACATCAAGAACTGGTGCCAAGTTAAATCCCACTTCTTTATATCATGCAAAATTAAATAAATAATGAATATTAATCCAATATATGTATGTATTGTTTGTACGAACGATTTGATATCAACAACTGCGGCGCCAAGATAAATTCTACTATCAAAATGAAAAGTAAAACTCAAGTGATACTATCTTTATTTATTATTTACTTAATCCAAATGGTACTATCTTTAATTTTTATACAATGAAACCTAAGTATACGTACACTTATTGAAGAATCTTCCTATTCCAATCCAAATGATTTAAATTCCTCTTAAATGAAATCATTATATCACA